CATCGGATGTCCCTGGAACGTCCTGGGGAAGGTTCAGGACCTGATTCGGACGTACTCGGAACTTACTAATGTCTGATATAATATATACTCAGGACGTTTTTAGTACTTCTTTGTGCAATCTGGGAAGCAATACGAAAGTGTGTAAGTAATGATTCATTTATCCAGTTATCGTATATTCATTACTAATGAATGACGAGTCAGCTCTGGTGTTCCCCAAGGGGGACATTGCTCTCCCTTATTATTTAACCTATTTGTTAATGACCTCAAAAATCACATTAAGAACTGTGAGTTTCTAATGTTTGCGGATGATCTTAAGTTGTTTCGGATAGTGGGTAGTGATCTGGATGCTAGCTTGGTTCAAAGGGATCTTGATAGTCTCTCAACTTGGTGTGAGCAAAATTTGTTAAATTTAAATATCAATAAGTGTTTTCATATTTCGTTTTGCAAGACAAAAAGGAGAATTAATACTTTTTATTCCATAAATGGGCAACAATTGTGTAGAAGGGAAGAGGCCATGGATCTAGGAATACTGTTTGACTCTCGTTTAAGTTTCTCCAACCACATACATCAACTAGTTGTGAAAGCTAGCAGAATGTTGGGATTTACATTGAGGAATTGTCAAGGTCTCTCTATTGATGCAGTGAGATCGGTATTTGTAGGGTTGGTTAGATCTCAACTTGAATATTGTTCAGTTATCTGGTCTCCACAATACAATGTGTATAAGGATTTGCTGGAAAGAGTTACACACAAGTTTTTGAGATACTGTAATTTTAAATTTAACCTTAATATTATTGCTGACCATGATTATTCTGATATATTAGTTCATTTTGATTTATGTTCCTTGGAAAAGAGACGAACTATGTTCGACATCTGTGTTCTTTATAAATTATTAAATGGTATAATATCTAGTCCATTTCTACTCTCTCAAATTAAATTTACTACACCACAAAGAATACTAAGACACAATAATTTATTTTTTATAAGAAATCATAGGACCAATTTTGGTAAACATTTTTTTTTGAGAGGTCTTTGAATTTTTTAAATAGGGAGGAAAGGCTGGATGTATTTAGGGGTTCTTTTCGTTCCTTTAAGAGAGCTTTAATCGAATTAATTTAACTTGTGATCTCTATTTGAATATTATTTGTTAACTTAGTGATATACCTATAATTAGTATTTGTTATTATTATTGTTAACTCGTCACCCTAATATAACAAGGTTGTATGTTAAAAAACCGAAAAATTTGAGTTTATGCTTCTACCAGGTTTTATGTAATCCACCCTTGACATACAACTTGAAAATAACTCTATATATATGTATACATAGAATATACATTCTATAGAATTATTTTTAAGTGGTATGTGAAGCGTATGCCACGTATAGTCCTGTAGAAACATGGACTTAAATTTTTCGTTTTTTTTAACATACAACCTTGTTATATTAGGGTGACGAACTATTGGATAAATGAATTGTTATTTTTTTATTATTAATGTTAATTATCTGTTTAAAGAATTTGTTACTTATTTTTAATTTAGTGATTAACTGTAATTGTCTTCTTTTCAAGACACAACCTTTATATGTAATGTTTATACTGTAATGGGGTTTTCCCGTTTAAGCAATAAATAAATAAATAAATAAACTTTGCCTCAATAAATACTTATATTATTTATCGTGATCCATTAAATCCGTATGTACAAAATACTTACATGTAGTGTAAAATATTCACTGTATGAAAGTTTAAAATGTATTTTGATATAAAAACGTACGGACACACTTTCGTATTGCTTTTACAACTTTTTTCCGATTTATATTTTATAAATTCAATATTTTCATAAAAACGGCCATGTTGAGCGATCCCAAAAAAAAACGAAAAATGACTTATGTTGTTGCAATGAATACCTACTTAAAAACAAAATTCATAAAATTCACCTTCTCATTTAAAGTTAGTTCCCGAGCACCGTGTAAGACGTTCCTGTCCCGATCCCATCCCATTCCCGTACCGTTTCTGTCTTGTTCATATCCCATTGTTGCCCCATTTCTGTTCCGTTCCTGTTAAACTTCAAATCTGACGTTTTTCAAAAATTCACGAATTGTTATTTTCAGTAACACAAGAATTTAGTAATATATTGGCTGGCAATTACCTTATATCCAGGGGCGTAGCTACCGCGGTATCAGCCGTATCAATGATACGGGGCCCCCGGCTAGGGGGGGGGGGCGACTGGCTTCGACATGCGTAAGCAAAAAACATATTAAAACATGTTAAAAAAAAATGAGGCATGAAATTAAATAAATAAATAATATTATTATTTAATTGTTTATACTTTGATTTATTAAATTTAAATTTTCCTGACCTATCCGCTATGCGCATAGTATGCGTTGTCTGCGCCGCAGCCTGCTCATATTGTTCTGTGCTCTGCGCCGCATACTGAGTCTGCTTTGCGTGTTATTATCATAGGTTATATTAATATCAAATTAAAAATAATTATTAGCGTTATAATTATTTAAAATGACTCCTTTATTTTAAAATAGTAACCTTTTAAAAAATGTTGAAGAACGGTAAATGTCTAAAACCAGAAAAATTTTAAAATTTGCCTGTACATAAAAAGCTATGTATACATATATTATTTATTAAATTATAAAAAATAGGTAAATGCAAAATATGATACCCTAAAAAATTTTTTTTGTTTGCCCAAAATAGACTTTGGGCGTGACACCCAGAAATTATTATGCCAGCAGCTTTTCCCGTATAAGAGCCCCTACCAGATTTTTGATACGGGGCCCCCTCAATGGTAGCTACGCCCCTGCCAGGGGGGTAGCTACCGTGTATCAGCAGTATCAATGATACGGGGCCCCCGGCTAGGGGAGCCCCCGATTGGCTTGGACATGCGTAAGCAAAAAACATATTACCCACATGTTAAAAAAATTTAAGCATGAAATTAAATAAATAAATAATATTAATATTTAATTGTTTATACTTCGTTTTATTAAATTAAAATTTTCCTGAATACCCTCCTGTTCAAACGAGACCGTGAACTCATACGAATTGTTTCTGCCCGCACCTTTCCGCTATGCGTTGTCTGCGGCGCAATCTGCACATATTCTGTGCTCTGCGCCGCATAGGTTATATTAAAAGCAAATTAGAAATAATTATTAGCCTTACAATTATTTCAAATGACTTGCCTTTAAAAGTAGAGTAGTAACGCCATCAACCTATCCAGCTTACAGGCAAAGCCTATAAGGTTCGGTTCTTCAGCGGGACCTACTGTTTAACGTGGAATCCGAACCACGGTCCTCGATGACTTGCCTTTATTTTAAAATAGAAACCTTTTAAAAGATGTTGAAGAACGGTAAATGTCTAAAACCAGACTAAATTAAAAAATTTGCCCGTACATAAAAAGTTATGTATACATGTATATTATTTATTAAATTATAAAAAAAAATGGTAAATGCAAAAAAATGATTGTTTGTCCATAATAGACTTTGGGAGTGACACCAAGAAAATTTTTTGCCAGCAGCTTTTCCCGTATAAGAGCCACTACAAATTTTTGATATGGGGCCCCATTGAGGCTAGCTACGCCACTGGGCCGTACCAATATACACTCCCTTTTATGAATGTGACATTACATAAAATCTGCGAGAGGTTTATTAAACCTGTGCGCAGACCTAGTTTAAATTACAAACTAACTAATACCTACTTACAAACTAAAAACTTAAAACTAAGAAAACTTGTACTTTAAAGGTTGTTTGATTTACTAAACTTTTTGATGTTTAAACATAGAATCTAATTAGTGAAGGGAGAATCAAATGATTTTTAGAATCGAATAATTTGCATTCAAATACTCTAAAAAATCGAATGATCATTCGAATACAGAGAATCGAATAATTTGTTCCGAATCGGAACTTCCGATAATAGCCGAAAACATTTATTGAATTAATGTTTTCGAATTTTATTTTTTGTCTTCACTAGACCGCCGACGGTGGTCTAGTGGTCTAGTGCATGCTGACTACAAGCCGGAGGTCGTGGGTTCGAATCCCACCAGGGGTATGGCTGTTTATTTGTGTTTGTCCTATTGTGTATTAGTCCTTCGGAGGGGACTTTAAGCCCGCGGTCCGTTCCTACCCCTAACCCGCACAAGCCATTCAGTTGGCTTATGGGACTTCTTAAGAAGTAAGGGTGGAACTAAAAGAGCACTTTTGTATATAAACTTTGTATATAAAATTCATTATGGGCTGAGCGGGTTGGCGTCGCACTGGCCGCAATATAATTCTAAACCGGCTGATATACTTACTAATTGATTTATGACATGCTTTCTTTATTTTTATCATAAAACATAAACTATATTATTTGTCAGGTTTTGTAAATAGGCGATCATTTATGCATTATTATTATTAATAATAATAATAAACTTTATTGGAAATCCAAATGGCTAACGACTTTCGTCTTCCTGCCCTATTATTATTATTATTTTAATAAAGTAAAAGTGTATGCTCTTTATTTTAAATACAATAATACATTTTGATTCAAAATTAAAATTAAAATCCTTAAAATGTTCACGAAAATTTTTCAACATTCTTTAGTTTTAATTTGGTTGCAACGTCGGTTATATATTTTATTTTTGTGATATTTAAAAAGTTTTAATTATAATTGTTAGATAATTATGTCTCCGTTATATTTACTAGATTTGAATACATATTAAAATTAACACCAGCACCATTGGTGCGATTCGTAAGTAAAGAACCATGTCAAACGTCTCATAAATTACTTTTGTATATAATATTCCTTTAAGAGGGCACACAGTGTGTGGCACACACTAAGGGGTTTGGTGCATCTTTTCGTAAGAACTGAATGTATTAGAGACTCCAATTTAGAGTTAGTTTTTAGTCAGATTCCTTGTTGAAGTTCGAATGCATTCTCTTGTCTCCCACATTCCGCTCGATGACAATATTTTTCTATGATCAACAATTATATCCCTTCGTTAATAAAAGAATAATTATATACTTACAATCATAAAGGGTTTTAATAGTATCCTTGCAATTTTGTGGACATACCAAAATATCAGAAACACATAAATCAAAAAAAACTTTCATAATTAAATATTTTCATGATAATATATTATTATTATATTATAACACCACGTTAATTTTTAAATAAAATATATCCAATACACTATACCATATATACTATACATATACCATACATATAATTTAATAACATTTAACCTAAAAAAACACCAACAATGATGCCAAATCTCATAGAAAAAGTAAATCTAGTATTTAGGAGCAGCTGGAAGCAGTGTTGCCAACAGTAAAATATTAAAATTCTCAAAAACCTAAACAAAAATTCGCCAGAATTCTCCATCTTTGCCAAAAAAAAATCTCCAACACTTTTTAAGGGCAAAACAAAGAGGTTTGTATGGACACAAAATGCAAAAAATATAAAACAGTTTATTTAAAAATTTAACAAAAAAATAAATAAAAAAACAACTTTGTAATATGAGGCTTTAATGCCTTTTTATATAATAAACATTTTCTTTTAACATGAAAATAACAAAATAAATAAGAATGTCCCAAAAGTAGCTGGCCAAACTTTGCTAACGTAATGTAGCTACCTAGGTACAGATCAAAATAAGTCTATTTTTCTATAGTTTGACGTGACACCTTTTAGGATAAACTGTAGAAGGATTTAGATAGTACTAATATATTCAATTATATTATCTATTGTTTTATCAGTCTCATTAATTGTTATATATTTTTTTGGTACCTATTTGTTTTAATAAATTATCAGGGAGGAGGTAGTCCTTACAGCCAGTAGCGTGCAAAGGTGATCGGGGCCCCCCCCGCAAATTTTGAGCTGGGGCCCCTTTGTCACTTATACCACCCAATGTGGTTCTCTACGGGGCCCCCCTAAGGTCGGGGGCCCCCCCGCACCGCGGGCCCTGCGGGGCCCGTCCTGCACGCCACTGCTTACAGCATAACTGTAACCGTTTAAGGCCAAATCTAATGTATAAAAGATTATTTAAGAATACTTTCTCTTCTGGGCTGTAAAGCAACCTATATTTAACTTAATTTTAATTTTAATTTGATTGGAAATAAAGATTATTATTATTATTATAACTACTTTTTTAATATAATTTTACTCATTCAAGCACCACCAAAGCCAAATTAATTGCATTTTTAACTACAAATTTTGACAACTCAACTTGACAACTGCACATTGTGCATCAGAGACAAGGTGTTGTGCATAGTAACTATAGCATAGACTATGACTATAGGAACGTACCAACAAAATAAGCGGAAAAATAGAAAAATATATAAAATTTGAAGAATTTTTATCGAGAGTTCGGTTCGTCCCTGGTTGAGTACGTTATTGCTCTATGAAAAAGTAAGTGAAATATAAGTGACTTTGCGACCCAGGAGGGACGAGATCGGTTTCCCAGGGTAAAAATACACTGTCTTTAAGCAGAAATATATAATTATATGAAAATATTTGAAAAAAGAAGCGGATGAATTAAGATTGAAATATTTGAAGAAATCATGTGCATATAGCCATGTGGTTAAAGAAAATTGAACATAGTGATATAAAAAATTAAATTAACCAGTAGATAAATGATTCAAGGGATGAGTTAAACGTTAGTCGTTTTTTCGCGTAAATACTATGTAATACTACGGTTAAATAAGTCATGACGTCACAGTTAATTCATATAACCATGGTTAGGTTTTTAACATTTGACATTTGTTTACTTGTTCATAACCTATAATTTTTGAAATGTGTTTTTACCTATTTATATTTAATTTCTATGCTTTTACCGGTGTAAATAAATTTCTTTGCCTCTTTTTATACCTAGTATATTCTTTTTCTATAGGTACTAGTTTTTTTAATACACGTTATCCAATTCTCCTACATGTTTAATACAAAATAAGGAAGAATATAAAAAAACCTGCATATAATTTCTTCCACTTGTGGAGATTCACAATATGGAGCACCCTATCATTTATTTTTACTGACAACACCCCGTTTACCATTTTAATACAAAGTTTAAATTCGGTTTAAGAGCAATTGTACCTATAGGTATACTTAAAATATTTTAAATTTCAAATGTAAACAACTTCTTGACAGATCGAAACAGAGAAAAATATATATTAAAAAGAGAAAGACTATTAACCACGTTGAATAACTAGCTCAGCGATATAGTTTTATGGTCTGGTATTTGTGACGTCATAGTTAGGATTTTTGAACGCACTCTAAACGCAAAAATGCCTTAACTATTAACCACGGTTAAGTTTAATAACCATAGTATTTCATGGTATTTACGCGAAAAAACGACTGTTGACACCGCTGATCTAAGTTCAACAGAACTGCTGTTGAGTCGACATTCAAAAACTCATTTGACTGTGAACTGAGTTCATTAACTGATCTAAGTTCCCCTGAACAAAGGTTTAATTAAACCCTAATTGAAAAAGCGGCCCTTAAGGTGTGTGACTGTCAGTGTTGCCAGATGTAAAAGTTGAAATTATCGAATTTTCGCAAAATTATGTTACAAGGGTAGGAAGACGAAAGTCGTTAGCCATTTGAATTCCCAATAAAGTTTATTATTATTATTATTATTATTAATATTATTATTATTATTATTATTATTATTATTATTATTATTATTATTATTATTATTATTATTATTATTATTATTATTATTATTATTATTATTATTATTATTATTATTATTATTATTATTATCTAACAATAATTATTATAATTTATTCATAAAAAAGTGAAAGAAGCAGGGTTGAAAATATTATCGATTTTTTGGAAAATTATAAAATTTGTTAAAAATACTATAAAGTTGGATTTATAGTTCAGAAAGTAGCGGTAGCGGTAATGGCGGCCCCTCGCATAAACACTAAACTTACAAGGCGAGGCTGTCAACTAAAAACTGCCATGTGATTGGCTGAAGTAGCGGTTGAGGTAAGAAAAGATGAAAGATGGTCATCTCTTGCCGCTAAGTTCTTGTCTCTACTTCCCTTACCGCTACCTCTGACAACTATAAATTGTTTCATATAATATTCAATGCCCAACTTGGCTACCGCTACCGCTGCCTCTACCGTTACCTTTAGAACTATAAATACCGTACGGGAATCTATAAACAGCACTACGGTATTGTTGATCTTTTACGGCAGGAAGGAAGGAAATCTATAAATCAGGCTTTATGCTTAATTAAATTAATTAATCTGGATAGAATTAAGTTAATTTTGTCCAGATACTTGGATTAAAAATTATGTTACAATTATCGATTATGTTACATATAATTTTCAAGCTTTGTTTTTAGAAAAATTTATGTTACAAGCATAGATCATACCCTTGTATGATCTATGGTTACAAGTGGCAAAACTGACTGTTAACGAGAACCCTGGACGGGACTGTAACATTAAGCCGGGTCTACAATTGTCGCAGGGGTCCGATGATCGGACTCCGATCGCAAAACATAAGCTTGCGCAAAGCACCCACAGAAAGCACCCCGCGATGTGGCGATGGAGCAAGGTTCTTTTGTCAGCTGGGTGCTTTGCGCAAGCTTATGTTCTGCGATCTGCGACATGCGACAATTGTGGACCCGACTTTATGTTAAATAAATAGTGGCGGCAACATTGTAAATAACCTAACTTATAGGGTAGGTTATTTATTTAATAGAAGAATGTTTAAACGAAGTCTTTTTAAAATTAATCAATGTAGACAATTATGCTTTCAAAATCCATACGTTAGACTGTGGTCAACAGAAAATAAAAACACGGATTTGGGAAATATGAATACAAAATATCAAGTTTTTAAAGATAATGATTCAGAAATAATATTAGATGTTTACGAAGAGAGATTGAAGTATTCTAATTTACTTGATGAACATATAGAAGAAAATGTAAATCTTTTTGAGGGCCTTAATTTAAAACGTAAATTAAGACAGTTGTTTGCTTTACCAAATAGGTATAAACTTTTTTTATTTTAGGTGGAAAAACTGGTGTTTTTGAAATAGAAGATTTGGTAGAAGTTTTAAAAAGAGAAAATTCCAAAGACATATTTGTAGCCAAAGTATCATTAGATATAAAATATGTTGATTATATGTGTGTTGTATCTGGTAAATCACAAAGGCATATGAGGGCTATTGCACAATTTGTAAAAAGGGTTTACAAACAAAAAAAGCAGAAAAGTGATATAGTACCTAAATTAGAAGGTGAAAACTCAAAAGATTGGATAGCATTGGATTTAGGTAAGAAAATAATTAATAAAAAAAAAATGTCACATAGAGACCCTGTTTAAACTGATTTTTGATTGGATTGTATGGTATTTCTATAGGTGCATCAGGTGAATAGGACCCATAGTTGGGATTTATGGTTGTTCTATAGGGATATCCTTCCTTGATTTATTTGCTATTGGTCTCAATAGGGAAAATGCACATAAATGTAGAAATTAGTTTTTCTCCCATAGGACCCCAACAAAATTTTGTAAAATGTTGGTTGCTCTATAGGTATATCCCCGAGGGTTAACCACTGATTTTTAAAAATTAAAAATCGCCTACGAATTAACGACTAAGGATAACAATTCCAGCAAACACATAAGTCTGGTAATGTAATGGCCCATTACAGTGTTTAATGGTTAAATTATGGCATTTTTAATCCAAGCTGTTCTTGTACTGGGCCTCTACAGGAATTTTTCGTTAATAAATGTCAATTTAGACCAAAGGCTGTCGTGGTAAGGTCTCCCTGCTTAAAATACCCCATAGAGACCTATACAAAATAATCTATCGGGCGCTACCGGATTCTATATGTGCATTTGTCCATGGGTTTTTCCGGATACAGCCCGATAGAAAATGTATAGGAAATTACCTATAGGCACACCATAACTTTTACATTTTCCCTATTGAGACCGATAGAAAATAACTCAATGAAGGATATATAGGGATATCCCTATAGAGTAACCATAAAACATTTGACAAAATTTTATTAAAACCTATAGGGTCCTATAGGGAAAAAACTAATTTCTACATTTATGTGTATTTTCCCCATTGAAACCGATAGCAAATAAATCAATGGTGGATATCCCTATAGAACAACCATAAATCTCAACTACGGGTCCTATACAAACCGATACACCCTATAGAAACACCATACATCCCGATACAAATATCTATCGGTTTGAACAGGGTCTCTATGGGGTATTTTAAGCAGGGCTTGCAATGGCCCTTTTCAGGCAATGATATGTATAATTTAACATTAAAGGCCCACATATGGCAATTATAAGTATCAAGTTAATGGAACTGTAACACACCATTACAGTGCCAAATGTTTTCCTTTGCTTTACACCATATTTACTAATGAATTGCCTCATGTTAGTGGTATTATGCATATGTTATAGAAAAATAATATAGGTTTTGAGATATATTAATTAATTATCGAATTATCTAAGGTGTATTTTATAATTAATTATTAATGAACTAAACAACTAGGTAGTACCTTTTTCAAGTAAGTATTTTTACTGTACAATTTTTACATTAATGTCGTACTATTTAATAACCTAGGTTATAGCCACTACAAAAGATATTGAAAATACTATAAAAGCATGGTTAAGGGGAGCAATCGACAGGGATGGTGGTCGTAAAAATCGAGAGAAAAAAAATCAATGAAATTATTAATTTTTCTTATTTTAATTTTTTTTTATTTACTAAAAGAAATTTGATTTTATTTTGTATAATATTTGTTAAGTTTTTTTTTTATTAAATATGTTTTGTTATAATTATGTTTGAATTACATGTATTTTATAACACATTAAACACTTTGTATTTTTTAATTTGTTGAAAGTTTTAGGGACATTCCATGATAACGAAATTTTTGTCCCGACTTTTATCTATATAGTAAAGTACCTATCTATTATGGTGGATTAAATTTGGTAAGTATATATTCAGGGGCGTGCTGGCTGAATCAATGCAGGCCTGGACTAGATGGTAGAGCAGTCCAGGCCCAAGCCAATTTCATATAAATTGTAAAAATACATCACAATTAAATACCTCTACTGATAAAACCTCCCGTATTAAGTCACAATCTAAACCATTTTGCACCTTTCTGTTCACAGCAATCAGCATAAAATCTTCCAAATTTACGTCACTTCACACTAATATTAAAGGATTAAATCATTAATTCATTTCTCTATAAATTCGAGCTGATCCCCCCTTCCGAAAATTGCATTTTATCGAAGTGGCCCCGGATCAGTTTGGATTTTCAAAGAAACGGAAAAATAATTACGAAAGCATCCAAAATATCCCCACGGTTTAGGGTTTCCACCTGCGACTTCTTGGTTAAGGGTTAGCGTAAAAAATACGTGTTTTAGATTTTTTTACGGGAGTCAATTAAAACTTTTTTTATTTTATTTATTTTATTTATTTTTTTATTTATTTATTTAATAAATATTCTACAGGCTCAACGCCCAATTACAGAATATATGTAGGTAATACAAAAATTACAAATAGATATCTAATATACTTATTTAAAATAACAGTATTTCTGCAAAACAAAAATCTTTAACAGTTTAAAAAAAAACGTTTTAAAACATCGACTTTGCATGAAAAAATATCTATATGACCTTCGATTTTATTGTAATTTGTTGAAATGGTGATTGAACCAGAATATTTGTTTGTGGGGTTGGGATAGAAAATGTGGTTTTATGTCTTGATCTTAGGCGTGGTATATGAAAATTTAACATACAAGTTAACTCACCACATTTAACATCATCGTGTAATATTCTGTGAAGAAATAGTATCTGCGAGTTTAATCTTCGTTGTGCTAGACTATTATATGTGAACTCCATGAGAAGTAGCTTATGATCGTATCCTTGAATAGGATAAACTTGGTGACTTTTAAAAAACAATGTTTTCAAAAATCTTCTCTGAACTGATTCCAAGCTATTTATGTGTAGATTGTATATAGGTGACCAAATTACCGAAGCATACTCAAGTTTAGTTCTCACAAGTGTATTATACAATGCACTAAGTGTAGAAGAAGATGAAAAATTTTAGTGTTTAGTGATATAACTTGAAAAAACTTTTTGTTTGGTATAAAAATCTTTTTTCTATTTGCATACCATAACAAGTCCAGCAGACCACCATGGTAGCGCAGGCCACCGGGCATTCGCCCGGTGTCCCGGCGGCCCAGCACGCCCCTGTATATATTTATTAGGTCGGATATTACACGATAATCGGAATTTTTTTCCCCTACCGTCAAATATCGGTCGGGATAAAATATTTCAATTATTATGGAATATCCGTACCTAGTAAATATATAGGTAACACATTTAATCCACATAATAGGTACTTTACTTATCCATTAAAGAATATTTAACTAACCACTATAGAATCTTTATCACCCCATATAAGAACCTTTAGCTTGCCATATTTGTACCTTTAACCTGCCATATCGGAACCTTTAGCGGTTCTTGTAAGTGTCTTTATCGACTGCCGTTACATGTCCATAAAAGGTGAACGCGACATAATATGTAGAGGTCCATTAAAGTCAGCCTTTATAGGGCCTTTAGTTTATTAAAGGCACGCGTTTAAAGGGCCATTACAGAACCTTTACGGTTGTGTTTGCTGGGAAGGGTAGTTATGCGCAATGTGTCGCTAAGAGAAATTTCTTATTGATAAGGATTTTTCCTTATTGATAACCCTAGACCACACCCAGAGCTGGGAAAGTTACTTCTGAAAAGTATCTAGTTACTTTTCTAAGATACAAAACTTAGTTACCTCTGGTAACTAGATACTTTGAGTTAAAAGTATCTTTAGTTACAAGATACTTAAAAAGTATCTAAGATACTATCCGAAAGTATTTAAGATACTATATGGAAGTATCTAAGATACTTTTGAGTAACTAAGATACTTTTAAGTAACTAAAATACTTTTAAGTACCAAGTTACTTTTAAGTATGAATAAAAACTATAAAATTATAAAATTTCAAGAAGTTGTAGGTTAGGTAATTACTTTGAATCATTCTGGAATTCCCCCAATTTTTTCTAATAAAGTATCTAAGTTACACTGAAAAGTATCTAAGTTACTTTAAAAAGTATCTTAGTTACTTTAAAAAGTATCTTAGTTACTTTAAAGTATCTGAGTTACTTTTAAGTATCTTTTTTTTCAAGATACTCCCAGCTCTGACCACACCAATAGATAATTTACTCCAATGGATGGCCTATGGCCGAATTGTGTGGTCCAGGCTTGTATCATAATATAGTTCCTTCATTTTCCACAGCGGTCAATGACGATGAAAATTGAAAACCAGGTATGAAAAGAGGAATGCGCACAGTGTATTATGTAATATCAAGCAAACTTTTAAACTTATTTAGTACTTTGTTATTATTGATTACTGATAGTTCGCTTGTTATTTTGATTTCTCAAGAGCTACATGAACAGTTTAGGGTACCAAAGCGAAGTTGACACATTAAAACAACTCTTCTTCTTCTTCTTCTCTGGTTTGATTGGCCTTTCCCTTCCAGGATTTAGCCAGCTGTATTTTATTATTATTATACTGGAAAAAGCGAGTCTAGGATAACCTATAGCTTCTCCTTTTCTTCTTGGTTTTATAGTTTATTAATTATTATTATTTATGCCACTTTTAGATTCTTTTTTCACTTATAGTCTTTTTATTCACTTATGTCCATCACTATCATTTTTGTCTTTTTTAGAGTTTATTCAATAAAGCAGCGGAAGTCACTTTTATTACACTTTTACACATACAAAATCACGATATTAGCAGCGGAAGTTACGAGGCAAAAAAAATTAAAAAAAAAACCGACTAAGCACCACATGGCTGTTTGCAGAAATATATTCAGTCCTTCAATATAACGATTATCCTTTGTGGAAATCCCTTGCATCTTTACCAATCTATTGTAGATTTTGTGGATTCAACAATTATCAACTTATTTATGGCATTAATAAATTTTATGCGATGAGTTTCATATTATCCACTCAAGGATAGCCGATCCATCTACTTCAGCAGATAACACAAAACTGATCAAAAAAACTCCGCGAGCTTGTCACTGCAGCGCAGTGCTGCCACCCTCTTACCGACTAACGTCGGTGGATATCAAGAAATAAATCGCTAGATTTCGGTCTAAAATCGGTAGATGGTTATTATTAGAGATGAGATTTTAGGTTGCCAAATTTATAAAAATAGGTACCTAAATAGGTTAAGTTTTTTCTTGTTTTAGGTGTGAAAATTCTTAAATTAGGTACGTACTTTACAAAAATAAGTACTGGAAAGCAACTTTTAGGTGGTAAAATAATGTAATTATTGTATATTGTATCTTGAAAAAAATATTATATACCATCATA